ACATTGTTGTGGCACCTTCCAAAATGTTCAGACATAGTGCCGCGCGTGTGGGGGTGGGGGTACGCCTGCCCCCCCCCCCCCGCCCCCGAAACAGACCATCGTTTCTGATGGAAAACAAATCGCGCTCATGGTGTTGTTTTCTTGTGCGACGTTTTTTTATTGGCACACAACCTGATAACGCGCACGCGTATTTAAAGTACTTGGTGGCTATGTTTAAACCATATGACTTGAGTTCCCGAAATTACCAATTACGCACCTCGGAGAACTCGAATAATGCCATCTCGGATGGCTTCTGGAGAGCTTCACATGGCGCCGAGGTTCGAGATGGCCCCAGATCTTCGAAGAGAAACCCAAGAGGGGCCCGAGCGGGCCCCAAGGACTGCAAGGTGGCCCAAACCGGAAGAGCCACGCGAGACCCGTGCATTTCCCACGCCGGCCCTGAGCAGCTCGAAGCCCCCGCGTAATCCCAGGCAAGAGGAGGCCGTCGATAAGATCGAGAAACGAAAAGCGAGGACAACCGAGAGCCGAGAGAATCTGGAGGGTTGACGAGGAAGGACGTATAAGGAATATTGGAGAACGAGGTAAGGCAAGGCATGGAATGAGCCTGTCCGAAAAGCACGCGCAGCAAACAACGCCATGCCATGCGCTAGAACCCAAGCGCGCGCGAAGCGCGCGCGCGGTTCCTTTTTCTATGAATAAATACCGCCCCCCCCCAGCCCCGGGTCCCACACCTCCCCGCCACATCTCGGGGACGCTCCGGGTACTGCTCCCCCGGCCTTTCTGGGGAGCCTCCACAGCGTCCCAGGAGTGTCCTAGACGCCTCCCAGAAGCCCACAGAATTCGAAAGAATGGTCCAAGACGCTCCCGAGCAGCCCAAGTCAGCCTTCCGACGGATCTCAAGGTTCCCAGGTGGCCTCCAAGAGACCCCAAGAGAGGTCCGAGAGGCGTCCCGGGACGGCCCGAAGAGGCCAAAACCGCAGAGCTGTTTTTCTATGTTTTTGGCTTCTCGCGTTTTCGAGCTTCCAATGGTCCAAGAGCGCCGAATAGCCTCCCAAGACCGCCCCGAGACCACCCAAGAGACCCTCAGGACGGCCCCAAGACGGGCCAAGAAGGCTCCAAGATTGCCGCAGAGGCGCCCAGGACAGCCCCAGACCACCCCAGAACAGGCCCAAGATGGGCCCCAGAGCGGGAGCAGGAGGCTTCCAGAGACTTCCGAGAGGCCTCCGGGACCCCCCAGAGGCCCCCAACACACCCCCATCCCCGGACATCTGGCCGGTGCAGCGCCTCCCCGCTTCCTGGGGGGAGACCCCAAGACGCCGAAGGACAGCCCATGACGACTTCAAGGAGCCCCCAGAACGGCCCAACACGCTCTCGCGCAGCCCGAGACACCCGGCGGCTCTCCAGGCCTCCAGGAGGCTTCAGGAAGCTCCAGGGGGTCCGGAAGATCCCACACCCATGAGGGGCCCGGCTAACAAAACCCGCGAGGCACAATCAAAAAACAGCGCCGAACAGCGCCGAGGAATTGGGAAAACATGGAAATCCCACATTTCTTTCTTGTTCCTCACATCATGAGTGGGGTTCTTGTTTTCCAAGAGCACCCTCTTCTTCTTTCTCCTCCCGCTTCCTGTTCCACATGCCATCGCCAAACCATCCATACCATACCATACCATACCATACCATCCAAGACCATAAAGATATCATGCAACACCATATCATATGATTTCGTACCCCTCCCACCCCTCCAGGGAGGCCCCGACTGAGCGAGGACAGTATTCGCATACCATGTGATGTATCAGGTTTCGTGCCCCTGCCACCCGTCCAGGGAGGCTCCGCCTGAGCGAGGACAGTATTCGGATACCATTTGATTTATCAGGTTTCGTGCCCCTCCCACCCCTCCAGGGAGTCCCCGCCTTAGCCAGGACAGTATTCGGATACCATGTGATTTTTCAGGTTTCGTGCTCCTCCAGGGAGGTTCCGCCTGAGCGAGGGCAGTATTCGGATACCATGTGAGTCATGAGGGTTCGTGCCCCTCCCACCCGTCCAGGGAGGCCCCGCCTGAGCGAGGACAGCATTCGGATACCATCTGATTTATCAGGTTTCGTGACCCTCCCACTCGTCCAGGGATGCCCCGCCTGAGCGAGGACAGTATTCGGACACCATGTGATTTATCAGGTTTCGTTTCCCTCCCACCCCTCCAGGGAGGCCCCGCCTGAGCGAGGACAGTATTCGAATACCATGTGATTTATCAGATTTTGTTCCCCTCCCACACGTCCAGGGAGGCCCCGCCTGAGCGAGGACAGTGTTCGGATACCATATGATTTATCAGGTCTCGTGCCCCTCCTACCCGTCCAGGGAGGCCTCGCCTGAGCCAGGACAGTATTCGGATACCATGTGATTTATCAGGTTGCGTGCCCCTCCTACCCGTCCAGTGAGGCCCCGCCTGAGCGAGGACAGTATTCGGATACCATTTGATTTTTCTGGTTTCGTGTTCCTCCAACCCCTCCAGGGAGGCCCCGCCTGAGCGAGGACAGTATTCGGATACCATGTGATTTATGAGGTACCGTGCCCCTCCCACCCGTCCAGGGAGGCCTCGCCTGAGCCAGGACAGTATTCGGATATCATGTGATTTATCAGGTTTCGTGCCCCTCCCACCCGTCCAGGGAGGCCCCGCCTGAGCGAACACAGTATTCGGATACAATGTGATTCATCAGGTCACGTGCCCCTCCCACCCTTCCAGGGAGGCCCCGCCTGAGCGAGGACAGTATTCGGATACAATGTGATTCATCAGGTCACGTGCCCCTCCCACCCGTCCAGGGAGGCCCCGCTTGAGCCATGACAGTATTCGGATCCCATGTGATTTATCATATTACGTGCCCCTCCTACCCGTCCAGGGAGGCCCCGCCTGAGCGAGGACAGCATTTGGATGCCATAGAATTTGTCAGGTTTCGTGCCCCTCCCACCCGTCCAGGGAGGCCCCGCCTGAGTGAGGACAGTATTCGGATACCATGTGATTCATCAGGTTGCGTGCCACTCCCACCCGTCCAGGGAGGCCCCGCATGAGCGAGGACAGTATTCGGATACCATGTGATTTATCAGGTTGCGTGCCCCTCCCACCCGTCCAGGGAGGCCCCGCATGAGCGAGGACAGTATTCGAATACCATGTGATTTATCAGATTTTGTGCCCCTCCCACCCTTCCAGGGAGGCCCCGCCTGAGCGAGGACAGTGTTCGGATACCATGTGATTTATCAGGCTTCGTTCCCCTCTCACCCGTCCAGGGAGGCCCCCCTCAGCGAGGACAGTATTCGGATACCATGTGATTTGTCAGGTTACGTGCCGTAGATCTTCTCTTGCTCGCCCCAAAAGCTTTTCTGCGCTGGAAGAGAGCACGCTGCCGAGCGCAGTTTGTGTTAAATGTCGTGCCCTCCCGTGTCTCCAAGGATGACCCCCTTGAGCGACGAGGGTATTCAGATACCGTGCTGCCTCCTAGGTTTCGTGCCCCGTCCACCCGTCAAGCGGAGGCCCCGCCTCAGCCTTCTGTGGGGAAATCTGGTAGCATAATTTCGGCGTGTTCGCCTTTGGGGCTTCCACTGCATCCAAGACCGCCCATGAGGCCCCCAAGACTGCCCCACAGTCTCCCAAGAGGGCTCCAAGACGACCCCAAGAGGGTCCCAAGACGGCCCGAGAGGCCCCCAAGACAGCCCAAGAGAGCCCCAGGACGAGCCCCAGAGGGGGTCCCAGAGGTGCACAACCATATTCAAATTCCAAGGTTTCGGCGCCGCAAATGTGGGGCCCAGCGCGCCGGGAGCCCTGCTGGAGCGCCGGGGGCCGTCCAAGATTGCCCGAAGATGGCTTCGGAACTCTCGAAAACGCGCCCCGATGGCTCTGGATGCCTTTTACGACGACTCCCATGACGCCAAGAAGGCCCCCGAAGGCCCCGAAGACGCCCCAAGAGGCACCCCGAGAGAGCCCCAATAAGCAAGAATCTTTGATTTCTTATCGGAAAATTTATGTTTTTGGCGTGTTCGCCTTTTGGGCTTCTACTGCATCCAAGACGGCCCAAGAGGCACCCAAGCCGGTCGAGGATGCCCCCAACAGGGCCCCAAGGCGGCCCACGAGGGGGCCAAGACGGCCCACGAGGCGCCCAAACCGCCCAAGAACGCCCAAAGGCGGCGCCCAAGACGGGGACGAGGAACCGGAAATTCGCGCTCTTTCGCCCAAGAGACCCCCAGGAGACCCCAAGAGGCTTCAAGAAGCGCCCCAGAAGCTCAAAGAGGCTCCCATGAGACCCGAACAAAACACCCACCAAAAGAGGCCCCGAAGACGCCCCAATAGGCACTCCAACAGAGCCCCAACTACGGAAACATAGTCGATTTCCTTTATGAGAACTGATATTTTTGACGTGTTCGCCTTTTGGGCTTCCACTGCGTCCAAGACGGCCCAAGAGGCACCCAAGCCGGTCGAGGGTGCCCCCAAGAGGAGGCCGTCGATCAGAACGAAAAATGGAAAGCGAGGACAACCGAGAGAGTCTGGAGGGTTAGCGAGGAAGGACGTATAAGGATCATTGGAGGACGAGGTAAGGCAAGACATGTAATAAGCCTGTCCGAAAAGCACGTGCAGCTAACAACGCAATGGCATGCGCTATAACCAAGCGCGCGCGCGAAGCGCGCGCGCGCGGTTCTATATGATATAAATGAATACCGCCCCCGCCGGCCCCGGGTCCCACACCTCCCCGCCACATCTCGCGGACGCTCCCGGTACCGTTCCCCCGGCCTTTCCGGGGAGGCCCTTTTGGTTGTTGCTTCCTCCCTGAGCGGGCCTCCGCCCGCCCTTCCCCCCCCCCCCTCTCAGCCCTCTCTGGCCATGGAGGACGAGGAGGAGGAGGAGGAGGAGGAGGAGGAGGAGGAGGAGGAGGAGGCGGAGGAGGCGGAGGAGGAGGGCCTTCCCAAGAGGGCCCCGAGGCCTCCGCGGCGGCGGGGCCAGCTCGGGGTGCTGGGCGCAGGCAGATGGACACCGAGCACCTGCTGGTCGTCATTGAGGGCGCGGGCGAGGAGGCGAGCAAGAGAGCCGCGCTCCTGTGCGCCCGCCCCAGCCTGCAGCGCGGGAGGGCGGGTGGAAGGGTGCGGGAGGGGAGGGGGCGGAAGGGAGCCGGAGGCGCCCGAAGGGTCGAGGGGGTCGAGGGTCAGGAGGGGGAGGGTCGAGGGTCAGGAGGGGCTGGCTGCGCCGGCCAGGGCCGCGATGCCTCCCAGGTGCGGCAGAGGGAAAGGAAACAACGTTTGGGCTCTCCCCCGCCCCCCCCAACAAAAAAATTCGAACCTGGCACGCGCGGGGAGGACTGCCGTCGAAGTTCAGCTCATCCAGCCCACTGCCAACATGGGCACCATTGGGGGGGGGCACTGGCAGACAGGTGTGGCACGAGTGTTCGCATTTTTTTCCCCGAGGCCTGCGTCTCAGGGCCCCCCCTTCTCTCTCTCTCTCTCTCTCGGCACGTCGTCCCCTGCCCCCCCCCCCGGCGCGCAGGCCCCGGGCCACGCGCGAGCCCCGTCTCTTCCCTGGCCCCCCCCTCTCGGGCGGCGCACCCGAGGGGGGGAGGAGGGAAGGAGCGTGTCTCCTTTCTGCTTGGGGCATCATGGGCATTCTGGCCCCCAGCCGCCCCCCCCTCCCCCTCCCCTCTGTAACGGAACGCCTCTCCCCCCCCCCCCCCAGTGCGCTCCGGGCGCTGCCGCCGCGCGCACGGCGGGGGGGAGGCGTTACATGATACGCCCCCCCTTGGCACCCTCCCTCCCTACTCCCCCCCTGCAATGCCCAGTATCGCCGAAAACAAAGAAACGCGCTCAAGGAGGATAGATCTTCTTGCTGTGCATGTGCTCCTCGGTCTTTTTTGAGGCCCTTTGGGGGGGCCTCTTGGGGCGCTCTTCGTCGCCTCTGGCGGGTCTGCATTGGAGCTCGGGTCAGGAAGCAGCGCGGCGCGGGCCCAGGACTCATTATGTTCCAGGGAGGAGAAGTCGGAGGGATGAAGAGAGGCTGTGCTGGAGGAGCGGGAGGAAGGATGGCGGGGGGATCGCTCGTGCTCGCCCTCTTTTCTCCCCCGTGCTAGTTTCGGGGGTGGACAGACCTCTTACCCTGACACGTCGATTAGCGAATTGGCAGTTTTCGGTTCGCGAGAGGGCGTCGCGGCCGTCATTTTTGCGGGTCCAGGTCCGTCGATTTCGGTCCCAGGCCGTTTTCACGAAGGGGAGGTTTACTAAAGGAAGGTTTGTCCACCGCCGATTTTCTCCCCCGTGCTAGTTGCTGTTGTCCGACCCCTTCTCTGCAGTTCCGCTCGTCGTCCGTCGCCGCCCCTCCTCGTGCTCCCCTCTTTGCGGGCCGCCTCCTCTCTCCTCCTGCCCTCTGCCGGTGCCGTCGCGCCGTCCGCACAGTGCCCCAGGCTTGCGTCGGGCCTCTCTCTCTCTCTCTCTCTCTCTCTCCCTCTCTCTCTATATATATATATATAGGAGGAACATCGGCGTCACCCCAATCTACTGATACTATATGTGGGTCGCCCCCCCAGGGGGCGACGCGCGCACCGAGAAGTCTTATAGTGTATGCCTCGTGGCGGGCGCTTTCTAGCCACACCGTTCGGGAAACGATACACTACAAGATGGGTATACTATATGTTCGGGTCGGACGTGCGCCTCCAAGGAGGACATAGTATTAGTATGTCCCTGTGCGTCCCAGGAACATCCGAAAAGTGGAAAACAACTCGTCAGGGGACGACTTTTCGACTATTCTCGGCTATTGTTGAATATTTGTTGAACATGTGTTTTGCGTATGTTTTTTGTTTGCGTCCAAAATCCGCCTGTAGGGGAACGTGCCCGACCGACCTAACCCTTGGCACTCTTGACCACGGGCCTCGTGTGACTGACTCGCTCTCAGCGATGACTGTCCCCTTCCAAGGGGTCGCCATAGCACCAGAACGGATCGCGGCAGGAGTACGCATCGATGATGCAGTGCATTTTTGATTATTTTTCTTCTGTTCTGCTTCGTGGGGCCCTCTTGTCACGGCCGGATCCGCATGTACAAGTTCTGGTCAAAAGGCAGCCAGCACAGTCTCTGGGGTTAGTTCTTGAGGGAGGGCGCAAGAGGAGGACGTGGAGGAAGGAGGATGAGGAGATTGAGGCCAGGGGAAGCAAGGAGTAGTAAGGGGAAGGATGAGGTGGAAGGATGATGCGGAAGTATACTGATGCTGCTGAACTTGATGTTGATGTTGCTCATGATGGTGATCCTGATGATGTTGCTGATAACTATGATGATGATGCTGCTGATGATGATGATGACGATGATGATGATGATGACGATGACGATGACGATGGCGATGACGATGATGCTGATGCTGATGATGCTTATGATGATAGTGATGATGATGACGATGAAGATGGTGATGTTCCTGCTGATGCTAGTGATTATGATGACGATGCTGGGAATGACGATGATGATGCTGGTGGTGATGACGATACTGGTGCTGCCGATGACGAGGATGATGATATTGTTGATGATGGCGATTCAAATAATGATGGCGATGCACTTAATGACGAGGATGATGAGGATGATCATGAGGATTTTGATGATGATGACGAAGCGGATGAGGATGATGATGATGATGAGAACGATGATGTTGATGATGATGACGATGATGATAATGATGACGACGACGATGAATATGATACTGCTGCTGATGCTAGTGATGATGATGATGATGACGATGCTGGTGATGATGATGTTGATGATGATGATTTTGATGATGCTGATGCTGATGCTGCTGATGTTGCTGACGATTGTTATTATGATGATGGTGACGATGCTGCCGATGATGAGGATTATGAGATTGATAATGCGGATTTGGATGAGGATGATGTCGAGGATGCGGATGTGGACGATGATGATGAGGACGATGATGATGCTGATGTTGATGATGACGATCATGGCGATGATGACAATGATGATGATGATGATTCTTATTATGAGGATGATGATGATGATGCTGTTGATGATGCTGATGCTGTCGATGATGCTGATGCTGATGCTGATGATGATGATGATGATGATGATGATGATGAGGAGGAGGAGGATGAGGAGGAGGAGCAGGAGGAGGAGGAGGAAGATTAGGATGAGCAAGAGGAGTAGGAAGAGGTGCCAGGAGGAGGGGGTGAGAGGGCGGTGGAGAGGAAGGAGTAGACATGGGAGGACGGACAGAGGAGGAGGAGGAGGAGGAGGAGGAGGAGGAGGAGGAGAAGGAGGAGGAGGAGGAGGAGGAAAAGGTGGAGGAGGAGGAGGAGGAGGAGCTCGGATGACGGAGGAGGACAGAGGATGAGAAGGAGGAGGAGCAGGAGCCAGAGGTCGAGACGTCCTCGGGCGAGAGGCCAGCCCCTACCCCGCGCGCGCGGCGAGCCAGGTCTTCGCAGCTGACGGGTGTCCGCTGGCGCGGGGGGTGGGGGGGGGCGGAAGGGGCCTTTCCAGGGCGAGAGGTCTCTTCCTCGAGCGATGAGGATGCAGGGCCAACGACAGTTTCGCAGATCGCACCCTTCCCAGGGATGGCGAGGTCTCCTCTGAGTTCCTGGTAAGGCATCACCCCGCCCCGCAGCAGCCCTCGGAAGAGGCTACCGTGTCGCAGATCGCACCCCCCCCAGGGATGGAGAGGTCGAGCCAGGAACACCAGTGAGACGTCATTCCGCTGGACCCCTCCGTATCGCATCGCAGCCCCCCTGGAATGGGGAGGTCTAGCCTGGATCCCCGGTAAGACGTCACCCCGCTGGACTTCCCAGCGACCTTTAGAAGTTCCAGCCATTTGGTAGGTCGCAACCTCCCAGGAATGGCGAGCTCTAGTATACATTCTGGGCAACACGTCATTTTGCTGGACCTCCCCAGCAGCCGTCGAAAGTGGCAGCAGTTTCGCAGGTCGCAGCCCCCAAGGGATGGGGAGGTCTAGCCCGGATCCCCGGTAAGACGTCACTCCGTTCGACCCCCCAGCAGCCCTCGAAAGAGGCGGCAGTTTCGCAGATTGCAGCTCCCGAGGGATATCGAGGTAACGTGGCACGGCGAGGTAAGAGGCGAGCTGGCAGGCAGGCACAAGCCCTCGTAATTAGAAGGCAGGAGAGAGGAGGAGGAGGAGGGAAGAGAGGAGGTGGGAGGCAGGAGCGAAGGAGTTGCTACTGCAGTTTTCTCTTCAGAAAGAGAGCCCAACGCAGGATGGCTGGGGGCACTGAACCGTATAGTGCACGGTGGATGGGCGTCCGAGCGATGGTCAGCTTCGGGACGGCCGAAGAGGAACGGCGGAAGACTGCCCGAGTGGAACAGCACACGGGAACGACCACGTCTCAAGCAGTGGCGAAGCGTCCTGGCGTGCCTACAGGCCTGCCAAACAATGTTCGAAGAACTTGTTGTGGTTTCCACGAAATGTTCTTAGAACAGTTCTGGCTGGGGCGGCCTTGTTTTGTAAGACATCGTTCTTATGTTCTAAGAACATTGTTTTGGTTCGTATAACATTCTTGGGTTCTAAGAACATGTCGTGGTAGGACTATAGGACTGCTGGGACGGGCGGGCCCTGCTCAAACGTCGCACACGGACCAACCGATCACTCATCGCACGTGCGCGAAACCCCGCACGTGCGGAGCGCTCCAGGAGCAGTGCGCGGCAGAAGCGGTGCCGTCATCAGACAGCACCGGGACGGCTGAAGACGAACGCCCGAAGCCGGATCCGAGTGGAGCAGCACATTCGAAAGGTGATAGTTTCTTATTCCCGATCGGCGCGGGTCCTCCCACCCCCCTCCTCCACCCCCCATGTAGTAGATTTAGGCTGTTTTTGGCGCCTGTTTCGAGCAGGTGGGGTCCCTCTCCCATCGGCCGCTCTGCTGCAAACAGTCGCACTAAGCAGAGGTCCAGAGCCAGACCCCTCCCCCTCCCCCCCTTTCAGCTCAATGTCGAACCGCGGAATAAAAAAGACGCTCACGTGACGGAGACGGCCGTCCTCTCTTCCCTGCAGCGCCACATGACGTTCTGCATTCGGACCCCTAACCATCTGGCGGTTGGTAGAAGACATTGAGGATAAATCGAAGATCTAATTTTGAAGCTTTCTGTTCTTTTCGGGCCTCTGGAGGATTGGGATGCGTCTGGAGGCCTCCAGAGACGTCCTAGGTACATTGTCCAGAATTGATAGATAGTCGTTAGAAGGCTGGCATGTGATCGATACTTCCCCAAACAGCTTGCTGAACGAGGTGCTGTTGTGATAGAAGCTAACTCCGGCCGAGGGAAGGGGAAGCAGAGACATCCTCACACAAATTTGATGGTCCTGGCCGTTTCGCTTGAGACATCCTCGCAATTCTCGTTTCTGAGTTGGCCGGGATTGGCCGTTTCGCCTGAGACATTCTCGAAAAGTTGCGCTCCGGGGCGCTGCGCGAGAGGTGGTCCGGGCCGTTTCGCTTGAGACATCCTTGAAACTCTGAGCCCCGAGGTGCCGTGCGAGAGGTGGTCCGGGGCGTTTAACTTTGAGCTCTGAAATGCCTTGCGCGAGGTGGTCCAGCCCGTTTGTTTCGCCTGAGCCATCCTCGAAACTCTGACCTCGGAGATGCCGCGCGAGAGGTGGTCCGGGCCGTTTCGCCTGAGACATCCTCGAACTTCTGTGCTCTGAGGTGCCCTGCGCGAGGTGGTCCGGCCCGTCTCGCCTGAGACATCCTCGCAACTCTGAGCCCTGAGATGCCGTGCGCAAGGTGGTCCGTCCCGTTTCGCACAAGACATTCTCGCAACTCTGAGCTCCCAGATGCCGCGCAAGAGGTGGTCCAGCCTGGGGGCCCAGAAGACCACGTGTTACATATTATATCGTGGTTAGTGGTGTTCATTGACGCGCACAAATCCCAGATCATATGATACAAAACGCGTCTCGATAGGAACCGTTGTTCCTGTCTTCTGCGGTAAGATTGACATGCCGTTCTGTGACTGCTACAAAACGCGTCTCGATAGGAATCGTTGTTCCTGTGTACTGCTGTGTTTCGCATTGGGCTTCAATCGCTACATCTCTAGGCTCTGTAGTTCACCACATGTTCTATAATATTTTAGAACATGTCAGCCCGTGTGCGTGACGTTGGTCATGGCGACTTGTGGCGCCCCTGGGGGCGGACAGATCGTGCCCCCCCCCTCCAAGGCGCACGACGCAGGTTGAGCTAACGTACGCATTTTGCGCAACGAATGAAGCACTGTAGAGTTGGCGTATTTGGAAGTGAGTGTGGCGACACCTCTCTTCATAGGCTGAGTGTGGCGACGCCCCAGCTGCACATTACATCCTTGACCATTTTGGCTCAAGGCCCAAGGACTGACGTACTTCAGCACACTATGCCTGAAAAACGAAAGTTCGAGACCGAAGTCACACGTTTTGAGAAACGTCTGTGTACGACCGTTCATTCACTTCTTTGCGACAGGTTTCATATTCCTTACAACAGGAGCGAGCCACATCCAATACCAATCAACATCGCCATCAAACATTTGGTAAGCGTTGCCAATGGAGGGGTCCCCACAGCCGTCGACACCTTTAACAACAACCACAGGTTATGAGCCCAAGTACCACGCACCTGGACCCCCTGCGGGTTTGACCGCAGATCAGGCGTTGGACTGGTACCTGGCGCAACACGCAGCTCAGAGCGCTCAGTCAAGCGCTGATCCACAGCAGCCGCTGGGCCTGCCGGCGTTGCCCCCTGTGCCGCAGCAGGCGCTGCCGGGGCCATCTCAGGGCTTGCACGGCATGCCCCCTGGGCTGCAGCTGAGCTTGCCTGCGCCGCCCCCGCCACAGCAACACCTGCGGCCGCCTCTGTGGGCAGGTGCCTACCCGCAGTTGCCCGCCGCTCCGTATGCCGTGGTGCCCCGGGCTCCGCCCCCAATGGCACCACAGGGACTGTTCCCAGGAATATCGGCGCCGCATCCTTACCAGCCTGCTTGGCCTCACGCCGGCGACATTCTACGAGGCGTGGCTGATGGCGTTACAGGCGTTGGTGCGGCAGTAGCTGGAGCATCAATGGAAGTAGCCTGGGGTGCAGGAGCACTTGGCTCAGCAGTCGCTGGGGCATCGGTCGGTGCGGCACGTGGCGTGGGGACAGCATTGTCTACTGCATCGAGTCTGCTTAACCCTATGCTACCTGGCCGGGCCCCTTCTTACCCACCACCAGTGCCGAAGGATGCCACGCCTTTCTACACGCCACCTGCGCAGGCATCCTCACCACCACCTGCGGTGACGTTTACGCCGGAGATGCTTCAGCAGCTTCTTCAGCGCGCCGCCACGGCGAACGTCGCAGCAGAGGCTTCGGGGGCAGAGCCGCATGCTGCTCCGACAGATGCGGCCGAATTGCCCGTACCAGGAGATGCTGAGGGTGATTCCGAGCACGGCGAGCAGCAGCAGCAGCAGCAGCAGCAGCAGCAACACCCAGTGCAGCGGCAGCCCGTGGAGCAGCACGCTTCTGCATCGATACCCGTGTACGTGGTGATGAAGCTTTTTGAGGCTGTAGCCGCAAAGGGTGCGCCCACCACTGGTCAGCCTCCGAGCGTGGTCAACCGGGAGGCGGACAGAGTTGTCATTCCTTCCTTGCCAAGTCATTTTGATTATACCCAGTGGCGCTACAGCGTCCATGCCAATGTGCTTGCGGCCTCTTCGGTGCCTCACTTGGTAGGCCCGTTCATGGACGACGTGGCCAACCCGTGCGTCAGCGACGAGATGCTGGTCACGGACAGGCCTCCGGCGATGGCATCCATCGACGCCAAGCTCTTCAGTGCGTTGGTGCATCTGTTGGTTGCCAAGCCCTGCGAGGACTCCACCAGGATACTCGGCGCCATCCGCCAGCTGTGTCAGCCCGGCTGTGGACGACAAGCTTTACGTCTCATCGATGGCGACTATCTCCATCAAGGACCCTGGCGTCGTCAGATAGCTTTGGCGGCTCTTCTCGAGATGACCAAGCCCGTGCACGACATCGGGCAGGCGGAAGCGACGCTCACCAAGCTTAAGAACATCTTGATGGAGCTCCGGGGTAGCCCCGAGATGCCGACGGATGCCTTCATCTTGTCTATTCTTCGGTCTTTGTTTGAATCCAACCATAGACTCGCTCCCACGTTCGCTGCTTACGATTTGATGCCAGACATTGGGACACACCAATTGATGAAGAATATTGAGCGAATCTGCGCTGAACATTGGGCAGCTGCCGCTGCAAGACCACCGAAGGCAAAGGCAGCAGCGGGTCTCAGCAACACCCCCAACACCAAAGCACCCAGCAAAGCACAAGGGAAGAAGGATCCAATGTGTTCCCAGTGCCACAAAAAGGGGCACTCGAAGGAGGAATGTTGGCAGCTAACTCGCCATTGCGATCGCTGCAAGAAGAAGGGGCATCTTGCGAAGGATTGCTTCCATAATCCGCAGAGCCCCAAGTGCAAGCAACCGAAGTCCACCACG